TAACACCTCCAAAAATCCCAAAATTTTTGTTTCACCACCCACTAACGGACTTTGGATGGACATAGTTAGTGGGGCCCGCCATGTACACGTGTCAGCTGTGTATTGGTTTTAAAAAAAAGAAAATTTAAAAAAAAATAAATAAAAAAACAAAAAAAAAAAAACCTAACTCCCTAACCCAACCAGCCCCACCACCGGCACCACCTGCCTAGCCGCCGGCATCCCCTACCCTCACATAATCCGGCATCCCCTACCCTTCAATTTCGAATTTACAATGGCCACAGAAACGACCAAGGAGCACAGAATCAGCGTAGTGAAGAAGTCAACTCCAACTTTTACAATGATGATATGGACGTGGAGGTTCAGCAATCTATTATGAAGTCTTTTGATGAAACACAGGGCGAGGCGGCTGCGCCGGATCAGCCCCCGATGGAAGAATGAAGTTCATATCTTGGAGTTGTAGGGAGATAAATGATACTACTTCCCTACGCATCCGTATCTTGTTTGGTTATTAGCTACTAAATTACCAACTTTTATGTTTATTTTGGAAACGAAAATGTTGCTTAGTAATGTTGAAAGTATTGTTGTAAAGTTTAACTCGAGTTTTTCTTTCGGGGTCAACTCGGTTGGAACTAAAGGTGGCTTAGCCTATTTTGTTGGATTTTGGGGGATGTTACTTGTGTTGCATCTTCCCAAAATTATATCTTTTGTAAGATAACTAGAGTTAATGGAACTAGTAGGTATGTCCTTTTCTTGTATGGATCGCATGTTGTAGAGGATAGAGCTTGAGTGTGAAGTGAAATTTTATGTCTCACTCATAATATTGACAATTGTCTAATATTGGGTGATATTAACGAAGTGGAATACTTGGGAGATAAATTGGGTGGATCCTCGGTTATTAGAGGGTTGGAGGATTTTTTAGATTGAAGAATACAAAGTGGAGTGCTTGAGGTTCCTTTTTCGGGACCAAGATTTACTTGGACTAATAAGCGATTAGGATCGGGGCTAACTATGGAGCGATTGGATAGAGTGTATTCAACTAAGCAATGGTTTGACGATTTCCCAGAAGGGCATGTGTTTCATGACTTTATAACGGTTTCGGATAATGCGGCTATAATATATGATACACACTCGACAGCAATGAGATCGAATAGGCCTTATCAATTGGAGGCTTGGTGTCTACTTTTTCCAGAAATTCAAGACCTTATTGTTGAAGTTGAAGCTTTACGATGTGAGGGGTCAGACATGCTTCAACATGTGATGAAAATGAAATGGCTACGGCACTGTATTCAAAAATGGTGTTTGAATAATAAACAGGTTTGGGGGATAAATTGGAGAAAAAGTTCAATGGATTACAAGATTAAGTGTTAAATATGACCTAAATTGCAAGTGGAGTGGAGTATGTGAAGGCAATCAATGATATGATTTCACAATCTACTATGGATTTTATGTACTGGCAGCAACGTATGAAGGAGAGGTGGGTTAAGGAGGGTGATTATGCAACCTCGCTGATGTATAATAGAGTTAAACAAAGAAAGAAGAGACGCGAGATAGTCACCTTACGTAATGAGGCGGATGAGTGGATTACAGGGCAACAAGACATAGAATTACTGATTCAGAACACTCTAAAGATAGTTTATACCCCTCCTTCGGATTTGATGAATAATATTGGCGAAGGAGTGGATCTGGTTTTGCGGGAACTAGGCTTATCTTACACTCTCTTCAATAGATGCAGATGATTTAGTACGGCCATTTTCGAATCAAGAGATTCGGAAAGCAATGTTTTCGATTCATAAGTTAAAATCACCGGGGCCTGATGGAATGATAGTAGAATTTTTCCATCAACATTGGGATAAGATGGGTGGCACGGTTGTAGAATCAATTCAGTAGTTCTTCAATACTGGGTATTTACTAAAAGAACTCAATGCTTCGATTCTGGTAATGATCCCCAAGGTGGATGTTCCGGAATTGGCTTCTTATTTTAGGCCAATAAGCTTATGCAATACGATCTATAAGTGCATAGCTAAATGCCTAGTAAATAGGATGAAAGGAACCTTGTCGGATTTAATTACGAAATTTCAACATGCGTTCATCCCAGGGCGATATGTGGAGGATAATATTCAGCTAAGTCATGAATTGCTACATTTGATTAATACTAGCAACGGGTCTTCCACAAAAGCGGTTATTAAAATGGATATGTCAAAAGCTTATGATAGAGTTAATTGGATTTTCTTATTGAAAGTCTTACAGGCTTATGGCTTCCCGGCAAAATGGATATAATGGATTTCCCAATGTATCTCGACGGTCTCCTATAGAACGCTCATTAATGGACAAGTCTCGAAATAGTTTAGACCAGAATGTGGGCTTCGGCAAGGGGATCCCCTTTCCCTGTATCTCTTTTTGTTCTGCATGTATATTTTGTCCAAAATGCTCTTGATGGCAGAAAATATAAACCTTTTTTGGCTCAAGGTTACAAGAAGATCACCTTCAATTTCACATTTATTTTTTTGCTGATGACGCAATGATCTTTTTCAAAGCAACGTCTGAGTCTTTTGAAAATCTGGTGGAGATTATTGATAGGTTCAGTGGAATCTCAGGTCAACAACTAAACCTGGGGAAAGTCTTTTGTGAAGTTTAGCAATTTGGCTCAGGTTGCTGATATAGAGGTGTTTAAGAATATTTTGAAGATTAACTAGGTTTCGGTAATGGAAAAACACTTGGATGCACCAATTGATTTAGTAGGAGGGAAGAAGGAAGTGTTTCAATACTTAGTGGATAAAGTCTTGAATAGGATCCTCTCTTGGGGTTTCCTAAACTTGTCTCAGTCGGTGAAGCTTATTTTGATAAACACGATTATGATAAGTATTAATTCTCATGTTATGAAGTGTTTCAAGCTACCACTTTCGATCGCATATAAGATTGATTCTATGATTGCAAAGTTTTTGTGGGGAAGAAAAGGAGAGAAATGGATGCATTGGGTGAATAAAGATGTCCTGCATTTACCAAAGGGAATGGGGGGCTTAGGGATTAGATTGATGGTTCACCTAAATGAGCCTCTATTTTTCAAGCGTGTGTCGAATGCACTGTAATCCCCAATTGCTTTTGGCTCGTTCTTATGAGCCTAGTCATAACTGTTATTTATGTGTTGGATCAACTAGAGGGAATGCCTCTTGGGGAAGGCGCAGTCTTTAGAGGGTTGGACAGAAGATGGTGCAGGGCTTTGTTTGGAAGATTGGGAATGGGGAACATATCAAAATAGCAAATATGAAATGGGTTCAGGATGAAGTTCCACTGTTGAAGTCAAATCAATTACCAAGGGGTAGTGGTACAGTAAGATTTGCGAACTGCTAGGTCCTACCGGTCAATGGAATGCGGCTATCATCCGGGAAAGGTTAGAGTGGGAATCAACACAGAAGATTTTGGAGATGAAGCTACCAAAGGAGAGGGAAGATGATTTCCTGTACTGGAATTACCACACTTCTGGTGATTATACAATTAAATCTGGATATGCTTTTTTAATGGATACTTGCTCCATAGCTCAAAGAATGTCAAGGGAGGATGGCTTTTTTCGCCTGATTTGGAAACTGAATATTCCTCCGAAATGGAGTTTATTCTTGTGGAAATTAGTTATGAATGGTCTAGCTGTGAAAGCTAACCTAGCTCGATGGGGGGTAGATTCAGATACAGAATGTGATGCCTGTGGATTGGAGGATGAGGATACACAACACTTGTTTCGATTTTTCTCTTTAGCTAAATATGTGTGGAAGAACTGTTCCTTGAATATTAGCTCAGAAATGGATGAATTTACTCCGCTGCGACACTGGATTCAAAATTATATCCTGCTTTACTATAGCGAGGATGACCTATGTAGTGAGAGAATACACACTTTTATTTGTATTCTTTGGGGCTTATGGATATTACTAGGAATGGAAGGGTTTTTAATGATGACAATGGATATCTAGCCTCTCTGTTTAGAAGTTTAGAGTTGGCGAAGAGTACACTAGACATGTTCCTTAAGCCGGATGTAAGAAGACTCGGGACATCACAAGTCATGGATGGCACGAACGATCCACCTCCGAGTTTCGTGAGGGTTAACTTAGGCATTGAGGACAATATCCCTATGGATCCGTTAGGGGGTAGGCAGGAGATTATTATTATGGTTGACGGCTCGTGGCATAAATAATCGGGGAATGCGAGTTTCGGTTGGGCATTTTCTTCGGATGGGATGAACTATGCGGATGGGGGTGGCTGCTATGGTAAAGCTACATCAGCGCTACATGCGGAAGGATTAGCGTGTCTACATGCTTTGCAATGGGCGCGGCAGAAGGGTTACCAGAGCATCACAATGTTCACAGACTCGATGAACTTAGTCCTCGTCCGTCAAAAGCAGCGACGGAGGGAGATGAAGATTTTTTGGACTCTTCAGGAACTAATTAGCAAGGGGTATCTCTTTAGATCTTGCGTCTTATGGAAGGTGGGACGTGAACAAGTTACTAGGGCCCATGAGTTAGCTAACGCTTGTCGATTTGCTTTTACTTGTTTTAGTAGCTAGTTTCTTGTTTAGTTGCTTTTGTCAATCAAAAAACAAATTCTATTAATATGGGATGTAAATAATAAATCAATTTCTTAAATCAAGGAATGTAAATAACATATCTTAAATCAAGGAAGGAATCATTTTGAATTTTTTTTGCTCGTGTACTTTTCATTAGTATAAAATGATTTGAATTTCTTATATCGTTGTACATTGTTCTTTCTGCGTTTTTTAATAAACTTTTTTATTTCGACCGGGTGTACCATGTGCATAGAACACCCAAGTGTAGGATGAAATGTATATTCAAAGTCCTTTTTTAAGAGAGAGATCACTACTGAAGTACATAAAGGAAAACAAGATGGGACAATGTCAAGCCATAAGCCCTTAAGGAGAGAGTGAGAGACCCCTTATACATGTACCTAGGCTATGTCACTTGAATTGTAACCACCTGCCAAAATTAGGACATGTTACGTACAGAATACAGCGTAACACATTTATGAACAACCCAAGACGAGGTTCCTCCTCATCGTCAAATGCCAAACACTAAGCTAGCTAGATCACATACAATCAAATGTTTTCTTCTCACAATCTACTTTGCCTAAACATAATCACATTAAAAAAGAAAAAAAATATAGGTTATCAGCAGCCGTGAATAATATTGGTTGAGATCATGTTACCGTGAATAATATACACGAGCTCATTGAACAATCAACAAAATAATGCCCATAACAATATGGATGTTTTAGACACCAATACTACCGTTGATATTCTCCAAGGATACTACAGAACTGGATGTGGAATCTTCAGTTGACTGAGAATGAGAGAAAAAAATATACAAAACCCATAAATGTAGGGATATAAGATACACCAAGGACCAGAGCTTTGCCGCCGGATTCCTTGCTAAAAATACTGCACCAGCTGAAAATATTGCATCCAACTGCCTAAGCAGTGAACCTAGGTGCTGCCTCCCTGACTGAATTTTATTTTCTAACATTGGCCGCAGCTTAGAACCAGTTGAATCCCATGTTCCTGCTTCTAAGTCTTCTCTTAAATTGCCCGAAATATCACTCCCGCTGATTAGAGATTTATTTTCATCGAGTAACCTTGAAACAGCCTGTAACCAAATATGTTGAACAGTGTAACAGCCATTGTTAAAAATGTTATGCAAATTCAACAAAAAGATCTACCTCAGTTCTGAAAAGAAGAGTTGCCTTGTTTGAAGAAAGTGATTCAACCTGAAATAACAAAAAATAAATTAGTACTCCATAACCAGTAGCATAGTGTAATTTAAGGAAGTTAACGTCTGTAAAAGGTGTAAAAGTTTAAGAGTGTACAATTCTTAAATAAAGGGTATGCTTGAAATAATGGAATATGAAGCCTAAACAATTGGTATACAAATCAAGGTATAAGCAACGTGTGCAAATTAATATGAACTAGATCGCTCTGAGCATCACCAACTATTATTTTAAATGAAGTTTCAGCATATCACTCAGTTCAAGTCAAGGCAAATGGTAGACAAGGCAGGTTGAAGGCCGTGATGTCAGATAAACTCTTAATAGCATCACTATATATGTGCTTTTATAACTAAAATCATGAATATGACATTGCATGGTCAGCAGGCTAAGCATGCGCTCCCACAGCAAATATATTCTATTGCGAAAGAATGGTAGTAAACTAGATACCCTGTATATCATCAAGTTAAGAATCCACAAATTCATTGGATAATTGTGTAAACAGTAGAGCAAAATGTAATATGTTGCCCATCTTGTTTAAAGAACAATCATTGACAGTTAGTGTAGATCGTAAATTCGAAATTGAAGGGTGCTTTAAGTATAAAGGGGGTGGGACCAGGTAGGTATCACATTGAACCTACTAAGAAGGGACAAGGCTTTGTTTTTCCTCGTAACCTATGAACAAGATATATCTCAAGGAGCTTATTTGTTTAATGAATCAAGCAGATCAGTTTGTGATATAAGCAGCTCTACACCATACAAGGGAGCTTCTTTGCTTTTTATCAAGAGAATTATCATCTAATTACCTCATAACCTGTAGGAAGAGGGAGGTCTAAACTACCTCATAACCTGAGCTTTCTTTAATATGTACTATCTTTATTATTACTACCTCATGAACTATTTTCAATCCAACAATATCATAATGTAAAAGGTCAAGCACTCTAATAAACCTTTTTCAAAGAAAGGTGATAGTTGGCATGATGAGAAACTGAAGCTGACTCTTAAAAACAGGGCATCACTAAGACCCGTCAACAAATGTAGACATTGAAGCAAGACAGAATACAAAAGACATACCTGGGCTTGTTTCTGAATCAAATGATCTGTCATCTGCCGAAGCCTTCGCCTAAGCTCAACTTCTACTTCAGTTGAATTTTCCATTTCCTTCAATGTCATGTCAACGTTTGCTTCCAGCTTCATCACCTATCATGTCAACAAGGTACATTGTACAATTCAAAGTTAACTTCAGTACTGAACAAATTTGATATTTGTTTAGTCAAAAATATGGAAAGGTCACAAAGATATCTAATCAAGAACAAGTCAGCAAAGGAGTTCACAATAAATTTGAAAAAGTGGCTTTAACAGTGAGAAAATTTTGGAATTCCCTAAAAGCCATGAATCAAGTTCTTATGCATTTTGACAAGGTAAAATGTTAATACAGAGTCACTTGCAAGTCCTAAAATACATATCCTAAAAAATGTGTGGCAACAAATACTTATTTTTGTTAGGATAACTCCTTACAAGTGAAAGCTTCTTTGCAGATGAGTTTTCCATTAAACTTCAATCACTAAAAGGTCTCGTAACATTCTTAATCACTAAAAGGTCTCATAACACTCTTCAAGCTCATGCAGTATGACAATCAAACAAACAATATGACGTCTATTATTCATCTCTGGACCATAGACAATGATCAAGATTCAAGACGAGAAAAAGAAAATTGGGGAAGAGGGAATAGAAGTTATCAATCTCACCTTCTCTTGCAGTCTTGCATTCTTGTCAGTTGCAAAAGCACATTCAGCTTCCAGCATCTCTTTCTGCAACTCAAAGCCTTTTGAAGCCGCCAACTGCAAGAGTAGCATATTTCAGAAACAAAAGTCACTAAATAGCAGCACATATTTATCAGTTAACTAAGTTATAACATAAATGTTATGAAAAAAGCCTTACACTTGTCAAAGTGGCCCTAGTTTGATGAACACTACAAATCTCTCTCTTCAACTCTTCAAAAAAAATTAAAAAAATGAAAATAAATATATAATTGGATTATATGATGAGTTCAGATTTAACATAAAAATATAAAGACACACAGTAAATGAGTACAAACTTCATGGCAGAAATCATTAGGTAGTATCACTGCTTCATAATTTAAAGTTAAACCAACAAAATAACTATGAAGTCAAGTATTAGTAAAAACATTAACCAGTGCTGGAAGAGCAAAGAGGGACCAAGCCTTAGTTTATAATGACATTTGACAAGCCCAAACAAAAATTAGCTAGTGGTAGAATATTATTCTTGTTAACATAGCCCATATTGCTCCTTACCATCTATCTTGAGCAAAGGAATATAACAAAGTATGACACACCAGAACATCACTTATCAACAAAGTACACGGGCCAAACTGCTCTAACAGCAAGACAAACAAGATGTCACACCAAAACGGGTCCATTTTTGCCTGTCTTCGGCCAATTCAATATGATACAACTTTTTCTTTGTCAGGAAAAAAAATGATGATTTTTTTAAGGAAAACCAAGGTAGGGAAGCCCAAAGCATAGATGCTTACATGTGAAATTTAAGGTTGACAATATGAAAATAAAATATTTCACTACATATTTCAAGATTCAGGATGATAAATTCTTTAAAAATATTAAACATATTATAAAATTTTGAGCTTCAAATCTTCAATAGTTCAACTTCATATTAGACTAAAAAAAATTAATTAAATATTAATCTGGACATACAAAATTATTCCAATGAAAAGTAAAATAAGCATTCTTATCTATTCTAATAGCTAAATTGGATTGCCATAGATTTTAGATTTAATTCAGATTTTATTACACCAGAAGAAAAACAAAAACTTGTGCATTTGATGATAAAAAAATATGCAAACACAACACAAATTGCATAGTCAATTAGGAATTTGGGAGCAACAAGAACTGTGAATAAGATCCCTTCAATGTTTCTTGCAAGAAAATAACTTTCCAATTGTATATACTTCCTCCGTTCATTTTTAGTTAACACAATTCTTTTTTTTCTACGTTTGTCAACACACAAGTTCAACGATTTATATATCTTATTACCAATAAGGAAAATTTATACAAAGTTAGTATTATGAAAATATGCATTGAGACAGTTTTAACTAGATCCCAAATGACTATGCTTTATCATAGTCGTAAACCACAAAAAAACTAGTCAAGTTTGTGAATAGTATCAAAAGTCAAAATGTGGCAAATAAAAAAGAATGGAGGAAGTATTATTAATACTACTACATGGCTAATAATATTTTACCCGTTCACTATTAGTTGGAACAATTTGATTTTCATGCTTACTCATGCATAATTTCAGCCTTTCATATCTAATGCTCATATCTAATACTTCCTGTGTTTTTTTTGCTCAATTTGGGTTGGCAACAAAGATTAAGAAAGAAGTTAAATGACAAAAATGTCCATGTGACTACAAACAATAGAGAGAGAGTAAAAGCTAGGTAACAAGGGTAAATATCACATGTGAGTAAGGGTAGGATGGGTATTTGGTGTGTGAACCCAAACAAAAAGTGTATGAAAAAATGCCCAAAGTAGAAATAGTGCAATTAATATGCGACTTCCTTAAAAGGAAAATGATGCAATTAAAAAAAAAAACCGGAGGAAGTATTATAGATGAGTAAAATAATAATAAAAGATGATAGTGTAGTGAAAATATAAGTTGAGGTGAATCTAACAAAATCCTACATGACTATAACATATAAATCAACAAAGGTGGTCAAAGGGAAGAATGTGATTGGTACTAAATTTTAAATGGTGCACCTAGAGTGAACAGAGGAAGTACTTCACCTTCACTTCTATAAAGCCTCTACTCGCAATTATCAAATATTATTGTAACACTTATCATAAGTCGGGTTTTTAGGTCACATATCAAAGATTTCACTCATCCTTTATCATTTATATCTTTATAAATGAAGAATTTAAAAGATATTGTAAATTAGTCTTGTAGAGGATAAAGAAAGAAAAGAAAAAAGAGAGCTAGAAAAAATATTCTATAAAACAAAATGATCTTACATGCCTCTTTAATATGTCATTTCACTTATGGTGTCCCTATATAATAAGAAATCTTTTCATACTTAGGCCCTGTTCACTTCACCTTAAAATAATAATATGTAGTAATATAATTTCACTTTAGTAAAAAGTAAAAATAGTTTCACATCAATAATAGTTTCACGGTAAATATAAGTTCAATTTAGTAAAAATCAGTAACTTAAAAGAAGAAATATTACAGAGAATCGGTAAAAATAATTTTAGTTCAACAAAAATAATTTTAGTTCAGTAAAATTAATTTCAGTAAAAATAATTCAAATTCAGCAAAAATAATTTCAATTCACTAAAAATAATTTCAGTTTAGCAAAAATAAGGTGAAGTGAACAGAGCCTTAGTACTACCTCCACCCCACATACCATTTATGGAATACTAATCTGCTCCTCTTTCTCTAATCCCCACAGTCCCACACCCACCACTCCCTTTCTTTGTCTACTTTTTCACTTCGCTTGAAGTAGGTTATGGATTAATCGACATAAAAATGAACATGTAGAGAGAGAGAGAGAGAGAGGAATTGACAATAGGTTGTATTAGTGGTGCAATTGAATCATCAAAAAGAGGATTACCACCCAAGATACTCCTAAAAGTGGAAAGAGAATGCTTAACAAAAATCAGATACTTCATTCTCTCTTTATCTTAAGGTATCCTTTTTTAGGATGTTGCAAATTAATTGTAGCATTACTTTATTTGGCCAATGATGCTTTCTATCTCTCTCGTCATCACACGGGTCATTTTTTTCATCTCTCTCCTCTCCTAAAATATAATGCATCTCCTCCATGTTACAATTCAAAGAGAACAAAAGGACATTAACTTCCTTAATTCCCTCTATCAATAACATAATATTAAAACAAACACCAGGAATGACACGTGTCATTTCTTGGTGTTGTTTTTTCCCTCCAAAACCACCTTTTTTTTTTCTTTTTTTACTCATCAAATCTTCTTTAAATATATCTACCATATTATTAAAATATAACCTTCCTATTTGATCATTATATTTTTGTCAAACACTAAAAAAGATTCACGCCATTTTTCGGTCAATAAATATCTAAAATTATCACCAAAATATCATTGCATAATCGCTAATATAATTTTTCAAATTAAATATTCATATACAGTCAAATCAATAATCTATCTATAATTATTGTTATATACTAAAGGTGAATTAAAATGACACATGTCATCACCAACATTAAAAAATTTCCCGCCTAAAATTTCTTTTGCTTTTTTGATTATTTTTGTTGGTTTTAATTTGTTTTATATAATAACCTATAATCTTTTCTTTGCATATTGCAACATAATGTATATAAATAATTTATTTTCTACTAGGTGTCCAAAGTTTGTGCAGAATTTCAAACCAAATTTGTTCTCAACAAAAAATTTAATAAAACAACTAGATTAGCTCCCGTGCGATGCACGGATATATAATATAAAGAATTTATAATTGTGTACATTTTCAAGTCATATTATCACTCGATCAAAATATGTTAAATCTTTATATTAACATAAACCAAACTATAAAAATTAAAATAACATAAACAAAAGAAAATTCATGTCTACAACACAATTTAGCGGACTTTGTAATTAGACGGAGTACACATATATACAAGATTAATATTTGCTTTCCTTAAGATTAGCTATATGTTTCGTAAAAGAAAAAAAAAAAGATTAGCTATATGTACCTTAAGACAGGTACTATACAATCAATATTTAGCTTTTAAAAAAAATTAGAGGAGAATAAAAAAGTTTAGGCGGGAAAAAATTAAAAGAGAAACTGACATGTGTACAATTTGGGAAAGTGATGAGCCAGCGGTTGTTATTTTAGTATTACTTATAGATACATAATCCTAACTAATCGTATAATAAAAAATAAAAAATAAATTATATAATTTCTCCATGAATACTACTCTCAAATTTATATATTTTTTTTTTTTTTCAAAAAAAACCCTACTACAACAATCTTAAAAAATGTTGATTTCAAATCATCATAAAGTAAAATAAAATCAAATAAATTTTCATAAAATGTTGTTGCGATGAAAGCCTATCAATAATGCGAAAGGTATATCTATATATGAGTACATTGTACTATGAGAACTAATCTAAAATTTTCGCTCTTAATCTTAACGTCTTTGGCACGGGTATAAATTAAGATTCAAGGTTTTTTTAAAAAATTTCATTTACAATATGAGTATTATTTTTTGGTAGATTTTAAATTTACATTTTTTTTTTTGAAGAAAGATTTTGAATTTACATTATGAGTAATTCGTTATAAAATTTTGTAAAACCGTGCGTGGCACGAGACTTAATCTATTTTAATCTATTATTGTTCCCAAAGCTAACTAACTTCGTGAAAATTACTGACGTACCCTCATTCTTCCTCTCCAAAGCAAGATGATATTAGAACCATCCAACTCTGATGATGTGTCCCTTCATTCCACCTTTTGCGTCTTCCGTTGTACCTAATAGGTGGTGTAGGTGGGTGTACTTATGCATCATAGTGTGTACAAAGATTGTGTAGCGACATTTTCTGGATAGAGTAACTTAGATTATAAAACTTCCAATATTATAAATTTCATGTATGTCAAGGACCCAAAACTTTGCTGATCACTTCTACCAAGGGTCTGTTTGGTAGGGTGTAAAACATTTGCAATGTAAAATGGTTTTCCATGAAAATCATTTTACAATGGAAAACTCATTTTCAAAAAAGTTTTTCGTTGTTTGGTTGAATGGAAAATGATTTTCCATTTTAAGCATTTTCCATTGTTTGGTTGAACTGAAAAATCAATTGTGAGGGAAAATGTTTTCCATCCACTTGTGATGGAAAATGTTTTCCCTCTACTTGTGATGGAAAACGTTTTCCTTCAAAATTGGGGGGAAAATGTTTTCAGTAAGGTGGAAAATAATTTTCCGCCCCAAGTTTAACATTTTAATGTTTTACACCAAACCAAACAATGTAAAATGGGAAAACACTTTTCAGTGAAAATGTTTTACGCCCTACCAAACGGAGCCCAAGTCCAAAACTTAGACAGTATTTCTATCATTTGGAAATTTGGAAAGCATAGAAAATTACAAAAGTCCCTTTCTTTTTGACTAACACGAGGCAGCGGCATTGATGACATAACAGGTTGACTGAAATAAAGCAAGTAGATATTAAATAGCAAATACCATTCATAAAACAGGTGAGTAAAAGGACAGGGCCAGAGCTGACTTTGGCACTTACATACCTTCAAGGGCAACTTCCTTTACCTCAATTTGGTGCCGTAATCCTCCTAAGCGATTTACCTAGTCCAAGAAATATAAACCAAATCAACATAAAAAAAATATACAATTAAAATAAAACAAAAGAAAAACAACAGATGTGTACTGGATTACTGGTGTACTTCAATGTTCGGGCAACTGGACAATAAAGAAACAAAAGGTTTAAGCCCTAACAACATAGTTTCATAGTTAAAAGAGACTTCATCTTCTACACTTACCAACAATTTCATTTTCATTATTTAACGATTTTGTTGTTCATTATCATGTTATGGAGTCACTTATCAGAAATAGTATATCACTTGTTTGTCATATTTTAGTTTTGTATCAATTATTACTTAGAAAAATTGCTAAAAATAATACTACCTTTGAATGGTTGAATTTAAACAAGACAACCGTTCAATTATTTCTTAATATTATAAACTTTGGGGATTATTAATTTTAAACACGTCAAAACCAGATATAGCCTGGTAAACAAGTTAACCATGCCACATGTCGTCATATGATTGGTTTAAAAAATTATGTTAATTATATTTAATTAAATAAAGGGGGAAAAAAAAAAAAAAAAAAAAAAAAAAAAACCTCTTCTTCCCCCTCTTCCGTCCCCTCCACCATGGCCACCACACCGCCACTGCAACCTCCCCCCTCACTACAACACCACCTCTGCCTGCCACCTCCCTTATCCCACCCAAACCACTCGAAACCCCCTCCTCATTCACCCTTAAACCGTCCAACAGCCAGCCACACCTACCCAAATTCATCCCCACCCCCCGCATTGCCCACCCATTTTTTTTTTCTATTTGTTTTTGGCAGTGGTGGAAGGTTTTCGACGGTGGGGTGAGTTTGTTTTGGGGTATTTGAGGGGTGGGGTGGGTTCATTTTGGGGTTTTCAAGTAAGTTAGGAGGGTAATCAAGGGTGGGATGGTTTGTTTTGGGATTTTCGGGTGGGTGGGGTGTTCTGATGGTGGCATGGCTAATATGGGGCGGCTGCGTTTGGGCTGATGTGGGGGTTTTTGGTGGTGTAGTGCGGCTGATGGTGTTTAGGAAGGTGAGGGGAAGGGAGGTGGCAGCCATGGCTGAAGTAGGGGCAGGCAGTGGTGGTGCCATGGTAAGGGGGGAAATTTGTTTTTTTTTTTTTTTTACAAAAAACAAAATTCATTTTTTTTATAAAAAAGTAAGTCAAAGATAAAAATATTAGACCAATATATGACGACACTGTTATGGACTCATGGGTAACATGTTTCAGAGGTTACAAGTTTTTTGACATGTTTAAAATTGAGACCCCCAAAGGTTGTAATTATAAAAAATAACCAAAAGGTTGTCTTGTTTAAATTCAAGAGCTCAAAGGTTGTACTCCCTCCGTTAAATATTATCTGCAACTTTTGCCATTTTTGTCCGATCAGAGTTATGTGCAACTATCTTTTTTTTCCATTTTTAGTAAACAAAAACCTTAAAATTACATATTTACCCTTACTTAAAAAATTTAATGTTCTTAATTTTACCCTTATCTTATTTTAATCACAATAACCTTTTTTAATCTAATCTAAAATCATGAACCTAATTCTACCCACCCATCTACTCATCTCCTAGTTTACCCACCATCCATTCATCTCTTTCTTCAACCTTCACCCTCTTCATCTCTTTCACCTTCACCCTCTTCATCTCTTCCCACCACCATTATTTTTCCTTCCTTCACGACCACCGCCCCTCCCACCACCATTCTCTCTCCTCCTTCACGACCACCGCCCCTCCCACCACCATTCTCTCTCCTCCTTCACGACCACCGCCCCTCCCACCACCATTCTCTCTTCTCCTTCACGAGTCACGACCACCGCCCCTCCCACCACCATTCTCTCTCCTTCTCGAATTTCAGCCGGATCTGCTTTAGGGTTTGATTTTGTACGTTTGTCGTTTATTTTTTGGGTGATTTACGTTCGAATTTTCTGGATTTTTTTCGATTTTATGGGTATTGATTTTATGGGTTTTGATTTTGATTTTATGGGTATTGATTTTCTGGGTTTCTACGGTGGTGGGTGGGTTAGGATTAAGGGGTTTTCTACGGTGGTGGGTGGGTCTGGGTACATGGGTGGTGGGGTGGTCTGGGTTGGAGGTGGTTAGGGCTGGTGTTGGAGGGGAAGATTAGATTTCTGGGTTTTCGTGAGGGTGGTGGTGGTGGTTTCGTGGGGGTGGTAGTGGTTTCGTGGGGTTGGTAGTGGTGGTGGTTTCGTGGGATTGGTGGTGGTGGTGGTTTCGTGGGATTGGTAGTGGTGGTGGTTTCGTGGGGGTGGTAGTGGTGGTGGTGAAGGCGGCGGTGTGGGTGGTGTTGCCTGGTCTTGGTGGTGGCGTGGTGGCAGTGGGTTTTGATTAATTAATCTCTCTCCACCTTAATTACACATCACAAGTGCATTAACTTTCTCTATTCTTTGCCCTTTAAAAATTGCATTGGCAATCGTGAATTGTACTGCAGTTGCAGATAATATTTAACGAAGGGAATATTATTTATGACAATTTTACCTAAATTTGATCATCAAATTCGAAAAAGTTCGTTGCAACTCTTATGACATATTGTCATATTAAGAATAAAGAGTAGCTTTTAACATATTTTTGCCATGATGATTAGACTCAATGTTGGACTGGGTATGGATCTTAACATTGGATAACGGAAATTCAAAATTTAAGGACGTTGAGAGAATTTTGGGAAGTACCCAAATTTTATGCATGGAATTAGGGACACGGATGGTTTCTCTTTAAGTGAGAATAAAAATTTATTAGTAAAAAAAATAATAAATAAATAAACCCTTACATATGCAACTTGAGTGTAAGGGGAAACAAAGAAGACTAGTAAGATAGTCAAAACTCATCCCCATGGGAAAATAAATTTATCATTAAAAGGGGTAATGGAATACATCTATGAGACTAAAGTAAAATGTAAAGGAGAAGAGATAGGAGACTTAATTATCAGCAGGTGACCCTAAAAAAGAGAGTATATCAACAGTCAAACTGCCTTGTTACAAAACATGTAGCAAAACTACCTTTATTCTTCAGTCCTTTTCTCCCTTGTATCTCTGTCCACAAAGGTACGATAGGGTGACATGGTGAGTCGAGCATCACATTATTATATCATCTTTTTGATATAATGTTTAGTAACTTCAAAACTTTATTAGTTACTTACTAATATATTAATTTTTATATGTTACATAAATCACTTGTTAAGTTTGACCTGATGTTATAATGGTATGTTGCTTTTATTTTCGAAACTTGGTTTAAAAGGAAAAGGTAGACTTCAGCAAAGATGATGCAGTCATGAAGGCTATGATAGGATGAGTAGGGAATTTCTTGATGTTCTTGAAAGAAAGGGGTTTGGGTAGCAGTGAATGGATCGGACATAAGGCTTCTTATCCAATGCCTTCTTTTCGGTTCGGTAAATGGAGCCCATGTAATATAACCTAGGCAAGGGGATTGTGTTGAGAGATCCCTTGTCACCATTTCATTTTCACCCTGGTGGTTGAATGAAAGAATGCTTGAAAGGGGTGTCTTGAGTGAGATTGATGACTTTTCAGCTTTAGTGGTTTTATTTTTGGATGACAAAGTAATTAGTTTCAAGAAGATGTTCACTATTTTTCAGATTGTGCTTGAGGCAGTATGATCCAAGAAAGTAAATAAAACCCTGGCTTTGGTAGAATATCAAGAAAGGTCTGTGGTTTTACCTTAAAAATTGCTTGTTGCTGGGTTTTTGTGTTGATGTAACTTGTTGCGATGGAGTGAAATTGTACATACATTGGATGTGTTAAAAAGATCTGAAACCAATTCTAAGTATTCACTGTTTTGGGAAGATTTGGTTAGGTAATATGCATATGTGGATATGAAAGGGGATAGAGGTTCACCTAATGTGGATGTGAATGCTGTGTATCAACTTTAAATCTGAAGAGTTGTCCAAATTGTTTAGAATGCCTAGTAAGGGTGGGACTTGCATGTAGAGGAGGCAATTGGGTTGCTAGGCACAGGAACCCAAATGCATCATTTTGGGTCGCATCTAATAGTTTTTTTTCTGCAATAAATTTCGGAAACTCGGATTAGTTCAGATTAATTTATTTGAGTACAGCTCTGTACCTTTATGATATGCAGCACGAGTTGAGTATTAGGTATGGTCGTCAAATGAGAAGGGACTTAAGATGAAAATGTGAGAAGGGTCCATGTGCTATAATCTACCTTGATGTGCATCTTTTTGAAACTGCAATCTTAGCTAAAATTACATTGATATTACGTGACACGTCTATGAAGTGAATGTGGAACAATTTTTGTATTGAAGGCCTGCTTTGTATCGGTGTCAATTTTTAGTTAATGGTTTTACAATTTTGAAATTCAAGTGACATAAGTTGTATAATCACTTTAAAAACTAGTCATTTCAATACTCCCCAAGTCCTCAAATTATTGCCCCCTTAGGCTTGGGCACATATATTAAGGCATTGTTCGGTTGCAATGGGAAATTACTTCCCATGGTAATTTACAATTTATGGAAGTTATTTCCCTTATCTAATTACTAGAAAATAGGGGTTTTTTTTTTTTTTTTTTTTTGAAGAATAGAAAATAGGTTTAATTAGTTTGGTAGATATTAAGGAAATCAAAAAACATGGGAATATTGAATGACCTAGGTATCTTAATTCCTACGTTATGCAGGACTTCCAAATCCCTTAGGAATTTCAACTTCCTCCATTTTGCACTTTTTGGGCTAACCAAACAACATATCACAATTGTACTCCTAGGAATTTTGAGTGCATATGGGAAGTTGGTCGAACCAAAGAATACCTAAGAGTATTTAAGTAATAGGGTTAAAAAATAATCTTCATGTTTTTGGGTAATCTCTAAAATATTGTATGACAATTGTTTTTGGGTGTCGACTCTGAAAATTAAAAATTGGAAATTACTAGTGGTTTCCATATTTTTGTTTTTAATAATAAAAAAAAAATTAAAAAAAAGAACTTCATGCTAGAAAGATAGTTACTTGCTATTAAAAGTCAGAAAAGATATATATATATATATATATATATATATATTTTTTTTTTTTTTTTTTTTTTTTTTTTTTTTTTTTTTTTTTTTTTTTTTTTTATATATATATATATATAGAATTTGCTAGTTGCTACTCCCCTCTGATCCTTCTGTCATCCAGAAACAATAGATGCATGAAACCACTAGGAACTCTACTAAAATAAAGATAATACAACCCAAATACATTGGCAGTAACAAGAAATATAACCGAGGTTAAAGGTGAGTTATCAGAAGAGACGACAATGCTATTTAAACAACTGCATACCTCTATTTCAAGATTCCATTGTGTGGAACCCAGCGATTTAGCAAGATTGGCATTTTCAGTCTGCAATTGTTATCAAAAGTAGTCAGGACTAATGGTTCAGGCACATCAAAAGGAGGCATTAATGATATTAGATGTGAAATGCAAGAGAAGAAATAAAAAAAATTAACAAGGCAAATTATAGAAGACTACAGCTCACCAAATAGATCGCAATTTAGAGGAATTCTTTTACCATTTTTTATTGTAAGTTTAGCCAGTGTAAATAACCCTTCCCCCCCTCTCCTCTTTTTTGTGTGTTTAACCTCTCGGTTGTGGCTTTTTAGAAGTTTCTTCAACGAAGTAATAAATATAATATATCAGCAGCAAACTGGGGGTACCCAAATAAACGAGGACAAGTTGTCCTCGGAACAGCAAACACATTACAAATACATATCACAACTAATCAAGTTCCTTCCAGTCAAAATAAAATAAAATAGAATAATTAGTTCTTTTGATATTCCCCAACTAACTGTTAAAACGCTAAATAAAAAATTCTATCCCACAGCACCAGAGAAGAGTTATCGGTGATCAAATTAAGATCATATAACAGCCAACTGCCAAGCTCCAATTTTGATTAAATAGATGACTCAAGTTTCAAACGTTGAAGTTTTTATATAATGGGGCCTAATTTTATGGTCAATTTTTTTGGTTTTCACATTTCTTCCTCTCTCTATCTAATAGTCTAGGACATTGAGAGGCACATGAGACAGAGTACCTCATGCTTCATTCGACTATGTTGTGTGCCTTTGCTATGCCAGCTATGCACCTAGAAGGCTCAGACGCACTATTTGAAACTAAGTCTTATCATGTTTACCACAACTAAGTCTCTCCTCTCTCTCCTCCCTAGAACATGCATTTCTTCCAATTTCCCTTGCACCCGATTTCTCTATTCGTGAATTAATCCTTGTGTTTTACATGTCCAAACTAAAGACATATCCTTGAAATACTAACTACAAAAGCAATGTGCTGCAAATGCATTCATGGTCCTTCTCTACTTAGCTTAAATTCTAGCTAACACGTATTTATCATTCACTTTGAGTATGTTTGTCGTGTTTTTAGCTTCTACAAGTCATTTAATGTCATTTTGGTTATATTGTATTTGAATCCTAACTGAATTAGGATTCGCTTTCATTTTTTCTAAATGAGTTAGGGTTTGCTTTATTACTTCCTATCTGGCTTAAGATCTGCTTTTCAAGTACCAGTAGGATTAGGATTTAATTTTCTTTCCTAGTTGGCTTAGGATTTGTTTTCCAATTCCTAGTAGGATAAGGATTTGTTTAAGATGACATGGGGGTTAAGTTTCCTAGAAAGAGTCAACATTTGACTAGGTTAAACTATGATTCCAACTTGTATTAAGCCTAGTTTTCTAGTTTGTTTAAAATTTGTGTTATTTACTCTAAAGGGAATTCATTTTATGAATAAAAAATCAGATTTGAGTAAACGAAATATTGATGAGATTATGCTATCAAGGTTTGGAGAAATTAAACCTAAACTTTTATGCATCTTGAGCCAAGACTTCAAGAAATCCTTAAAATCACGACTTTTGAGAAATTTATCTGTGTGCTTTTGTTCATTTTTAATTTACTCTAACCACAAAAAAATAATATTCGGATTTCTACATTAAAATCTGGACCATACACTTAGGCTAAAATACTATCATTAGTGAGTTACACCAATAGACAGCACTAAGTCGTAGGTCCTCAAGCACAAATTCTCTTTCGACACAATTATTTCATAATAGACAAACAAGAGAGAGAATGAGGAAGGGAGAAAAAGCGCGAGACGGAAAGAGGAAAAAGAAAAAGACATTTGTATCACCTCCAATTTGGCCAGTTGTGCTAGGACCTCCATCCTTGTATGACTGTGCTTCTGCTTCTCCACTTCAGTAGCTTCCATCATTTCCATCGTCATTGCCTGAAGTTCTGAGGCCTGATATTATAAAAGGTTTAGAAATATCAGAGATGTTTAATCTTTATAAGTTTATAACCAATAGTACAAACACAATATATAGAAGTAAACTACAGATTATTCTTTCTTACTGTCTAGTACAAGCCTGCAGCAATCAACACACCAAAAAAGATGCATCAATATGGTCAATACTAGGATGCTCAAACTCGGGTATGGGTGTAGACTCGAGTATTGGTCTAAATGTTGTCAGTCAGAAAAAAATATCCATAATCGAGGACCCAGGGATATGTTTTAGAGGTGTCCAAATTTCGGATTTGGACTCGTGAACACGGGTTATTAATAAAAAAAACTACTATATACCCATTTAGAGAGAGATTTAGGATCAAATGAGAAGATTTATAAAATTAAGAAAGATAAGAAGGATTATCTATGCATATTTTGTGAATTGAATGTGCTTATTTTCTAAACTAAATGTGCAACATTTTTTTTACTCAAGAACAATGTGCATATTATTTGAACAAAATGTGCACATTTTACATAAAATTGGGAAAAAAATAAAAAATAAAAAAAAGGTGCACGTTATATATATACGATTCACTTTTGTGCAGATTTTTATAGCTAAATACGCATATTTTTTAAACAAAATGGGCAGCTTTTCCATCAAGAGTATATTATTGGAACAGAATTTGCATATCTATATCTACATTAGAAAACTAACATTTAGTTCGAAATTGAAATATGCACATTAAGCTCATAAAATATGTATATTTATACAATAAAGTTGCACATTCAACCTTTGAGTCCTTCTCTTCTAGGTGAGGAAATAAAGTACTTTAACAAAATGAAAATATACTACAATAAAAAGTCAAATGAAAGGTTGAAAAAACACTACTTGGGAAATGCAAGCTTTATTGCCCACATGAGTGAAAAAAAATAATAATAAAACAAAAATAAAAAATAAAACAAAAAAAAATAAAAAAATAAAAACCCTTAACAAATTAGGAAGTGCAGAAGACTAAGTAAAAGAACCCACTAAAGATGTCGTCATCAGCACAGGTGTTTGAGGGGTTTTAGATGCCCGAAAAGTGCCCCAACTGGTTGCCCTAACAAATGTCAAAAAAACCCTAATGTATTAATTTTAGTTTTAGAGTATCTCAACTCCAATTTCAGATCTAGGGTCGTGTTGACACAGGTAACCACTAGGGGCAATGGCAATTTTCAAGCATCACAAGGTCAATAGCTTGAACTTCTAATATACAAGTTTTTCTGGAGAATTCTTCCAAGTGGAATCCCAAACAGATCTATACTTAAACAACACACCAAGAAGGAGAGAAAAAGTGAAAACTAAATAGATAAAAAAAAATAAAAAAAAATAAAAAAAAAAAAAAAAAGAGAGAGAGAAAAACAGACAAATTGACCAAGAGAAGGAAATGTTCCAAAGAATGGCAGTGTTCCCATATATAAAAACAGTGGTGCATGTCTGTATGATTTCAGAATGAACTAACGTTATTAGTAACTTTAGCCCATCATCCTATCTCTGTTACACTATTCTGCATCATCAACACCAATTCCAATTATCTTCCGGATTGGGAAATAAGTCTTGTAAATGTGGTAATTAGAATGGCAGAGCCCTAGTCACATGCAATTTTCTGCTGGTCAGAAATAAAACAATATTTTATAATGAAAAGACAAAGTGTTTTTCGCATGTGGTTACAGTGGCCATCATTTCTCTTATAATCTTAATGCTCATTGTCTAACATAAAGGTTCTGAAGTAGCAGAGAATTTTTCCATCTATTCATCTAAATGTTAGTACCATGGACTCGAGTATGGGTCCCAAAGACTATAATCACAACTGGTATTTGGTAAGGAAAGTTCAATTCAAGTAGTTGGCACTCTTTCACTCCTTGTACACATTAAAACTCCCTGAGTGAATTTACAAGGAACCAAAGATGTATAAACATCTACTTCTAATCAATTCAAAAGCCAATACTAAGGTTAGAGAGCAATATGTTCCGCCATACAGCCCACACCAAAACTACAAGCAATATAATTAAAATTGGGTGTGAAATAACGCATTAAAACATCAAAATCTGGCCACAAAAAATAAAATAAAATAAAATAAACATGAGAAATGATTCTAAGTTCTAACCTCTTGTGCTGCTTGATTTGCTTGCTCCTTGAGTATCTTCTTGAGGCTTTGCTTCTCTCCCTCCAATCGAGCCACTATATTTTCCTGTTCCTTAATGGCCTCCAAAGCTTTTGCAGCAGCTTTTGCAGCCAAAATTTGTCTTCGTCTCTGCATCCTTTTCTCCCGCTCTTGTTCAGCCCCTGAGTCAGACGTCGAATATGAATCTGAATCCGACTCATGATTGCCACCAGAGTGAGAGACACTTTTGAAACCCCCAATACCAGTTTTCGCAATGCCTTCATCACTGCAATTCATTTCCAAAGTGGTTCTACCAACTTTTTCATCATCACAAACAGCTCTTTTCCCTTCATCAGATATCAGAACAGACACATTCTCGCTATTCCCAATAATCGGGGAATCAACCTTAACCATGGACTTGTCATAGCCTAATGACCCACCCCTTTCCCCATTCCCATTCCCATCCCCAGTCATATTTCTTTCACGCTCTACTTCATCATAGCCTTCCACCTTTATTAATCTCAAGCTCGGTTCTGATCCCTCAACAATCTTCCTATTAGATCCCAGGCTCAAACCGCCTCCTCCTCCAAGAACACCACTTCCTTTCTCACCATTCCCATCACCTTCTTTCCTCACTGTTTTCTTCACCACTTTACCATTACCCTTACCCTTCAATCCCATAATTCCAGCCTTTCCCCCATCTTTCCGTGCCCCACTAGAGTGATTCGCCTTAGTAACAACGGGTTGTTTCGGGGCATTAAGAAGTTCAGTCCAATCACTATCATTAAGAGAAGAAGAGTTGGGTTTTTTCACAACATCCTTCTTCAAATTCAGCTTGCTAACCTTATTAATTTCATCACTACTTGATTTAATTTCACCATGATTAGAATCATTGTATAATTTTTCCAAATTTTCATTATCATCAGATGTTTTCTTCTTCAATTGATCTCGCAAAGGAACAATACCACTAGATTTTTGTGAGATAATTGCATCTAAACCATCAGATTGCTTACTCTCCTCTTTACGAAGTGATTCAGCAGCTTGCTGGTCAATCTAGACCCAAGAACAAATAAAATTATAAAGGAAAAAATGAAATTAATTGCCATTGTTAACCATTTGACAGAAATTAAGTTGCGAAAGGGGAGGAGTGAGAGGGAGAACCTGTTGAAGGAGATTTTCGGCAACCTTGAGCTTGGAAGAGATCCAACCAGCCATCCTTCTTCGTAAACACCTAACACGGTGTACTGCAAAAATTGAAATTGGGAGAATTGATCATTTGATTCATTTCTCAAATTTGTTGGCTAAACGGGCCTATTAGTTAAGGAGTATTCATTACGGTTTACGGATATTTGAGCAAGCCCCAGTCAATCAGCCTGATTGACGAAAACTTGTAAATCAGGCCCTCTTGTGGCCCCTGTTATGTCATCTGAAATAATATAATAATATTTTGTACCGTCATTTCCCAAATTAAAAGAAAAAAAAAACCTACAGCTAGCCCACCACGAGCCACGACCAGGTCTCCAAAACCAGATCTACATCTAGTCAGCCACCTCTCCGACGACCACCGGCCTTCCTCTTCGTCTTCTTCTTCAACAACAATGGCGGAATGCCCCTAACGCCGCTTCGCGGCGGTAACAAAATGATACCCTAGTAGAAAAATAGTGTAAATTAGGGCCATATCAACCCCTTAGGAAAATCATCTTCTTCGAGAAGCAATTTAAACCACCTTAGGAGGTGGTGGCGGTGGTCTGTAATAGGGATTTCATGAAGGAAGAAAAGGTGGGTTGCTGTAATGGAAGAATGGAAAACGGGGGAAGAAAGGGATGAAACTTACAAAATTATCCCTAATTAAATAAGTAAAATTACCCTTATACCCCCTGATACCAACTAAGTCAATCAAGTTGATTAACTTGTATTTCCTCCGGATATTTTTCACTTTCGTTATAATTGCAATAATTTCATTTTACATTCGTTTTATTATAATAAAATGATTTATTTTTCTTTTTTGTTAAAAAAAAAAAAAAAAAAAAAACTTAAAATAGCATTATTCTGTGAAAAGGGAAAAATTAAAAAAAAATCTTTTAATAGCTTTCTAGCAAAAGAAACCCCGGTTTTTAGCATTTTGACAAAGGAAAACCCGATTGTAAATTTTTTTTGTTGAAGCCACTAATTCACATTTTTTTAAGGGAACACTAATTCACTTAATTAACCTTTAATTTATTCTAATAATCTTTTAACTCTCACTTAATCATTTTATAATTAAATTAATTTATAATAAAAAAAATTTTAAAAAAAAAAAAAAAAAAAAAACCACCCCCCTCCCCTTGCGGCAGCCCTCCTCCCCACGCCCCCTAGAACCCCCCACCCCTGGCGACCTACCTCTACCTCCACCTCCATCGCCAACGACCTACCTCCACCTCCACCTCCACCGTCGGCCGACCCCACTTTCCCCCTTACCCCTGCTGTAACTTTAATTTCCACCTCCCTTCGAAAATCTTACTCTCATTTCTCCCTCAAATACTCTCAAAATCACTGCTAAAAATTGCAAGGATCTTCTTGGAAGCTTCAAATCAAGTTCTCCCACAATCAATGTATTTTTCCTTCGATTTTACCTCATAATTTTCTCGAATTTTGCAATTATTTTTTTCGAAACCCTAGAAAAATTGATTTAGGGGTTTTCAATTTTGTGCATCTTGATTGCAATTGATGCTTGTTTTGGCTTTGATTATGTATGTATGTGATGCTAGGGTGATTTAGAAGCAAATTGCAATTGAATTGAACTTGATTTGAGCATGTTTGCGTAAATTAAAGCCAAAAATTGAAAATTGTTTGCTCTTACTTGTGGTCGCCAGTGGGGGTAAGGGGGAAAGGGAGGGTCGGCCAGCGATAGAGGTAGGTCATCGGGGTAGGGGGATTTAGGCGGCAGGTCCGATGGGGGAAGTGGGAAGGGGAGGGGTGGTTGGGGGTGTTAGTTTTTTTTTTATATAAATTTAATTTAATTATAAAATAATTAGTTGGTTAGAGGGTAATTAGAAAAAATGGAAGGAAATTAGAGAGTAATTGAGTAATTTAAAGGGTAATTAATTAAACAGGTTTCTTTTTGCAAAAACAAAATGAACTTGGTGGTTTTTTTAAACCAAAAGGCTTTTAAAAGATTTTTTTTTTTTAGCTAAATAATGCTTTTAAAAGATTTTTTCTAATAAATTTTCCTTCGTTTTATTATAATCTAACTAGTATTTAGGCTCGGACGATGCCCCGAGTTACTACGTTAATTTCATTATTGAAATCCTTATTTACATTAAATTTTGGTAGAATAACATGCAATATGGTGATAGTTTGGTGGCTAACACTTTGTTTTTAATTAAACTTAAGGTTGTGGGTTCAAATCTTATACAATCCATATTTGTAAGCACGTGAAATGAAAGACTAGATTAATTGAAGTGGGCCCCACATGGCATGTAGGCTTGTTTATGCACACCTTTTAATATATAGTATATATAATCTAAATTTGGGAGAATTGATCATTTGATCTAACTTTACTATATTATACTTCTTTCAACAACAACAACAAAAAAAAAAAAATTGGCATTTTTGAGAGCGTTAGGTGCGCCACATAAACAAAGAAATTATTTTGAAAAGTGACCGATGAGATTTAAGAATTTTCCCAGGTAAAAACAACGAATACTGATTAATTAAGATTTGAATTATATAAAAATTTAATATAAAAAAAAAAGAGATTTGTAATTTATTTAAATTAAAATTTTCAATCGCCACATAAACAAAATTAACGAATAAGGTTTGGGATTTTAAATTCAAGTGCCTCGTAAAATAAATAAAAAAAACCGAAAGATAATTTTAGTGTTAAAAATAAATAAAAAAATATCTTATTATATTAGGAATTTTATCCAAATATCCAATGAATTAGATTCGTTAATATACAAAATCTTAAATTAAATAAAAGTATTACAATTTAATTAAGAATTAAAATATAGCAAAATAATGAATGAAAAATATAAAAACTAATTGTCTATCCATAAATCTACAAGAAAAAAATAATTTACAACTTTGAATTAATTATAAAATACTCGAATGAGATTATAAATTAAAATTAATCAAATATTTTTCTAAAAAAAACTATTTTTCAATATTCATAAAAAAAATAATCACATAAATAACTATTGTTATTTTTAAAAATCATAGTGATCCACCCATCATAATAACAACGGGCTTACATCTAGTTATAACTAGGTTAGGTCTCATGCCATTCATAGTAATAACATGGACAAAATAGAACTATAACACACTTCGTTTTTATTTTCTTCTTATTTTTGTGTATAATTTAAAATCAAACATGGAACGTCACGAAATAGTCGATTAGACTATAAATATATTATAACTACTGTACGCGTCATTCAAAGCGCGATATACTTGGCAATCATAGGAAGCGGGATTTGACATTATACGATTAGGGACAAAAAAAAGTAGGGAGCCGCCAACAAGTTTTTAAGGAACTTGTAAACCATTCACGGATCATTTTAAGGCAACCATGTTGAAGAGACAACAAAAGGCAACAACGATTGACCGTTACACCCCATTCATAAACCATGATATTACTAACTCCATATGGTTCGAAACCACGAAAGGAGGATCGAGAATGATGGTACGAAGTGAGTCATGGAAGTCACTTCGTTCGTATTGGCCTCTACTTGATTCTTATTGGGAAAAGTATTTCCTGCGATCTCAAAGACATAAAAACAAAGATTTAATTTGCTCCAAACTAATATTACTAAGTTGGTTGAATATTAATGCACACATAATCTAAATATTGTGATCACTTGATTAAGCAGCAAGATTAAGAAGGAACCTAAACCAATTGTCCAAATTATCTTATTAATCGTGATTTTGAATTACATATTACCTTTAAACATGCAATATGGTGATCAATAAATACAATAGTACGACAAAAGTATTGGAAGCAAAATCATAATATTAATTAGCACAAATCAATCCCATCATATTAATAGCAAAATAAAAATAAAATAATAAGTAATTAAATAAATTAAATACTCACATTGCACTCGCTCCTTTAAATTGCTACATCATGGATAAATCGATAGTAACTTCAATAAAAATATATAATCTAAATTGAAAGAATTAAATTAAAGAGTTAAAAAAAATTAATTTCACCCTTGGGATTATACCTTAACGCCTAAGGAAAAAAAAAAGGTAGAACCTTCAGATCTTGTTTTAGCCTTTGAATTACTTGAATAGGATTAGAAATAGGAAAAAATTGCCCGGAATAATTCCACCTTTGGGGCGTCCGCCCAAAATAATCCCACCTTTGGTTTATTTTTAAAAAACCGACATTTATACCCAATCTGCTCAAAATGGTCCCGAGTGACCAGTAACCGGTTGAAGAGGTAATTTTTTTTTATTAAGTTTAATTTACACATGTAAAAACTTGATTTCTCCAAAATTAACCAAAAAAAAAAGTAAAATCAAATAAAAAAAAAAAAAAAAAAACCACCACCACCATGCCCCAAAACCACCACCCTACCCAGACCCGAAATCACCGCCACTGACGCGTCGACCGGAATCCCACTCCAGCCAACCCAACCCCAAAACCCCCTTCGAAAAATCGGAAACCCACCAAAACCCACCAAAAATCGAAAAATCGAAAACCTTGAATCGAGGTCGGGGGAGGACGGTTGGGATCGGGATCGAGGTTGGGGAGGTTAGCGCGGCTGGAAAAGGGACGAGGGACGGGAAAGGAATTTTCAAGGGTTGGGGGATGGTTTAGGGCTGCTGGTGTTTCCGTTTTCGTGGGGGAGGGAAGGGATTGGTGGTTTGGGGGGGGAGGGGGGTCAGTCGCACGCCGGACCGGCGCTGGGGTTGGGGGCTGGCTGGCCGGAGCCGCGTGGCAGGGAAGACGGTGGCTTGGGTGGTGGGTGGTTTTTTGAATATTAATTTTTTTATTTTTTTTTTAAACAAAAATTTTAACTTTTTTTAAATTTTATTTTATTTTTTTTACCAATCACATGCTGCCACGTGTCTGGTAACTTGTTATAACAAGTTACATGACCGGTTGGGACCATTTTGAGCGGACTGAGTATAACGGTCAAATTATTTAAAAATAACTCAAATGTGAGATTATTTTAGCGAACGCCCTAAAGGTGGGATTATTGCGGGCAATTTTTCCTTAGAAATAAAGCTAAGACAATAAAAATTTTACGTCGAAACTTTACGTCTAAGCCTTTTGGGTCATATAGGGATGATATATAGTTGTCGAGATCTTGAAATTGCCTCCCCAAAATCAGAAAAGATGGTGGTATTTGTAGGCTTAAAATCGAGTGGAGATAGAATTTCAAAGAAGATAGAATTTAACAAACGCGTAGCGCGGGTTAGAAGTTTCACGATTTTTGATTTTATCATAACTTTTTATCCAGAATTGTTGGGTTTCGTAGAGTCCTACTCTACGCGAAAGAGAAACCCGCCCAAGACCCGCCCACTAATTAAGGCAACTAAGCACGTAATCACAAATTAACAACAATCAAGAGAGAGAAAGAAAAGACATTCATACCATTGGCGCGTGCTTCACTCGATCCCGAGCTCTTACTTCAAAACTTGAACCCCGCAAATGCGAAGGTCTCCAACGGCTCGTACCCACGAACCCGACCCGAACGGTCCTAGTCCCGAAGGTTAGTCGAGACTTGACCAATAAAAAACTAGAGTTTTACGAACTTAAGGTTTTCTCACTTTTCTAAGGAGATGCCTTTTTAGTTCCACTCAAGTGTTCTTCCCAAATCCCAAAACTTGGGTATTTATAGGGAAATGAACCTTGATTTCCCTTTCTCAATCAATGTGGGAGATTTGCAATTTTCCCCATTT